CCGAACCGGCCAGCTGGATCTGAGCAGTTGGAAGTGCGGGGTCCCTGGAACAAGGAATGGGACGTGGGAGAAAGGTGAAGACCAGGGATGGGAGAACTGCCAGAAAACAGGGGGATAAAATGGTGATGCGAGCCATCATGCATGACAAGTTCAATGACTTTTAAGTCAATAACGTGGCACTTTGCCTCCAATGTCCTCAGAATTTGGAGCAGCAAGTGGTTCAGAAGGAAGAGGCAGGTGGGCTTTGGGAGTTAGACCCACTTAGTGCAAATCCCAACTCTGTAACTTGTTGGCAGTAGGACTCTCACTCCTTGATCTTCTCCTTTGTAAAATGGGGATGACAAGAACTACCTCGTGGGGCTGTCATGAGAATTACATAGAGAAATGTGCTGGAGAACAATGGGTTTTGGAAGCTGAGTCTTGGGTCTTCCACCGACTGAGAAACACTGGACAATTTACTTCATCACTGTACTTTACTTTCCCCATTTTTCCTGTAAAATGGGATAATAGTAGTGACTCCCTCCGCATTGTACTGAGGATTAGATGAGATGCAGCTAGAAAGGACTAAAACCAAGACTAGGCACATAGAAAGCTCTAGGAGAACAGTGGCTATAGGTCAGCATGGCTGCTTAAGAGTGGGGGAGTTGGAGTTCGAGACCTGCACAGTATCTGTCTTGCACGCCTGCCTTGGGACTGGCAGTGTGATCTTGAACTGAGTTCACCTTGCATCTCAATCTCCTCGTTTTAATGTGGGGATAATAATACACACATACCTTGTGGGTTTGAAGACAAGATTAAATAAGGTAATACAGGTAAGGTGTTTACAATAGCACCTAGTAAGTGCTCTATAAATGTTAATCACAACTAGCTTTGATTAGTCTCACTAGCACTCCCTATCTTGGTGTTGGTAAGATTCTCTGCTCCTATGTAGGTGGCGAGAGTTGGGCGGCAGGCTGAAGTGAACGACTCTAATCGGGGCTTCCTGAGGTCTCTGTGGACCCAGAGCTCTGGCCCGGCTCCTTCATGTGCCTCCTTATTTACAGCCTCCAGCCTCTGGCCCTGCCTTTTTAGAATGGGCCCATTTTGGAGCTGGTTTGCGGTCAGGCAGCCATAATCTGTCCCTCGAGCCACACCAGAGTCTCATTAAAACGTGCCCCATAAATGTTAAAAAATTTACACATAAAAAAATTCCATGCATGAAACTGAAACCTTACGTTTAACAGCCTCGGTTTGAAATCTTGCATAATATATAAAACCTCGGCACTACACTGGGGGCCTGTAAATCAGATTTTATAAAACAAAAAGCTTTTACCTTTCAAAGGGGTTTGGGGAACTTGCAAATTTTACAAACTTTACCAACTGCCAGTCAGAGGCTGCTGGGTCCAAGCAGGGGATCAGTGGGCCAGATGAGAAATGGGCCTGGTTGGGTGTAGGGACTTGGGGGGCAGAGAGGATCCCAAGGGAGCTCAGTGGGGGCATGCTGGCTTAGCCACCACAGGGGTGAGAAGCCAACCCCATAGTTCTGAAATGGGGAGGTAGAGAAGGTCGGAGAGTGGGTGGCAGGGGATGAGAGTGGGTGGCAGAGAGAGGTGGGGGGTGGGGAGGTAGGGGTGTGCAGATGCTGGTGGCATTTATAAATGAGGGCTTTACTGTCCCCAGGAAGAAGAGAGGTGGGGAGACCTTGGAAGGAGCAGGGTATTGGGAGCCAGCAGACCTGGGTTCTGGTCCTAAATGACTCATTTCCCTTCTCTGGACTTCAGTGTCCCCATCTGTAAAATGGGGAGTTGCATGGGCTGGACAGTCTTCTCTCAGTTGTGTTTTCCCTTAGCATTTTGTGACTCTTAAGTTTCTCTCTGGGCATCAGTGCTGTGCGAGCAGCTGGATAGCCAGGAGAGGGAAGTTCCCTTAGAAGCCTACGATCTGGGAACCCCTCTGATCTTTGGGTAGCTCTGGGAGAGCGCAATCAGACGTTCCCATGGGAACTTGTCTGGGAGACCACTGCTGGGAGCAGGCGAAGGGATCGCTCAGCAAGCCAGTTTGCTTGGAGGAATGGAGGACAGGCAGCTGGAGGTGGGGAGAATGTACGTCCTAACAGCTGGCCTGGGGCCTATGGGCTCTCTGAGCTCGGGAGAAAGCAGGATCAGAGTGTGACCTGAGGGCCCGGGGAGGGACAAAGTTTTGGGGGACCCCCACATCCTTCTGACAATCCCATCTGTGAAAGTCAATATTCAAGGGCAAAGGAAAGCCGCCCTGACACACATATATATAAAAAATAAATCTCTCAATTATCTCAGCTCATTTGCTTGGGGTCTCTCATTTTATGTCCCTGCTCCGCTGCGCAGTATATCTGTCCGGATAAAGAGTTACAGTCCGTTGGGCTACGTGTGCGGGGTTGTAAAAAATACAGATGCCAAATTAACTGGCTGTGGCACTCAGCAGCTGATTGAGCTGATAATGATGCGATCTGACCTTTTTCTAATTTCTAATTATGTGCATCTCGGCTGTGCTGGCTACATGATTCTTGTTCTAATCATGACTCCCGTGGTTGGCCTCTCCAGCCGCCCCCTCCCCACGCAGGACTACAAATGGGGTGGCAAAGGGCACTGCTCGACTCCCCAAATGAAGTTGCAAGGTCTCCGCCCCACCGTCTTCTTGATGGCCAGGAGGAGACGCCCGGAAGGTGGATCTCCTTACCTTAGCGATACTGCATTTGAGATTAACCTTCCGGATGCCACGCATTTGTAAAGGACATTTGGTTCCACATGCCATCTTGTTAATTTTTTTTTTTTTTTTTATTGCCATGACATGAGAGAGGTGTATTAGCTCTACAGACGAGGAAACCGAGCTTCAAAGGAATTAAATCATTATAGTCGCACACAGGCTAAGCCGTGAAGCCAGGCTCGGGTCCTCCCTCTCCAAGAGCTCCTTCAACTCTCTATTCAAACACCTGACCAGCCACTGACAGTGGCTAACACCCAAGTAAATCAGGTCCACCTGGGCGGATGCGGTGTCTGAGGCTGTTCTGCCCACAGGACCGTTCCCAGCCTGATCACCTGGGATAGAAGACCAGGGGACACCAGGGGTCTGGGGTCCCTGGGGCAGCCGTTGCTGTATCCACAGCGCCAGGTTAGGTGTGCAAGGGGCAGACACGTTAACCGAGTTCTGCTGGGCGACATCAAGAGATCGGATTCTTTGAGGGAACCAAAACCCAAGAGACCCAGGTAGTGTTAGCAAGGGGAAAGCACAGAGCTGCAGCCCCTTTTTGGTAAATTCCAGGTTATCCTAGAAAAGGAGGCTGCTCTCAGTTGTGCCTGTGAGAGCTTCCCCTGGCAAGGTGTGTGAGTTTTTTTGCCCCAGGACTCCTGCTTCTTAAAAAGGGTTCAGTTCCTTTCCATCACTCAGCCTAATTTGAGGTATTTTCCACCGACTTCGGCCTCAGCTTCTTTTTGTGTCACGGGATAAGAGTGGCTCGTGGCCCTGCCAGGCCCGTTCCAGCTCCCCCAGAAATAGCTGCCTCGTCTCCTAGCCCCGTGGCTGCTGCGGGCCTAAATTCCCAAGACCTGCTTCACAGCGTTGGTTCCGAGCTGACCCGCTGGCTAGGGTGGGGCCGGAGCAGCCTGCAGGGAACAGGACAGTCAGGGGGCTGGGCTCCTGGGACAGTGGGGCTGCTCCAGCCCAGCCAGCGGAGACAGAGGGCCGGCTGAGCAGAGCGGACCCGCGGCCCTCAGGTACCCGCGCTAACAGGCCTGACGGCCCGCACGTGCTCCCCTCGGCAAGTGCCCCCCTCTCCCGAACCGCCAGCCCCACTCTCACACCTCACCAACCTCCAGGCCAGGCTGGCCTCTCCTGGCAGCTCTCGGGGACTCCATAGAACAGCATGTCCAGCTCCCGCAAACAGCAGCGGCGCGGGTAACTCACAGCGCGGAATAACACGGAAGTCCCTGAGTCCGGCCCGAAGGCGCGCTGAATGCGCAAGCGCATGCGCGTGCGTGGGCAGGTGCGCGTGTGCGGATGTTCTCTTCCTTTGTTTTTGGTGCCACCTTTGCTTTTCTAGTTCTGTTTTCCTTTTGGGAGCGGGTATTAGCTAAACTCTGGCTACGAGAGGCCAGCCCTATAATCAATTCACGGAGGAGAGCTTTGTAGTTTCCAAATTGACCGTGCATGGTCTAGGTAATCCACCCACAGAAAAATCAGGAATTGTGGTTAATAATGACTCATTCCGGGATATCTATCTGATGAATGAACAGAGCAGCTGCTCTGTTTCTCTCTTACTCCCTCAGCAGAACTCCCAGGGCTAGGAGAGAATTTGAGATGTCACCTACGGCAGTGGTTACCAAATCTTATTGATGATTGCAGTTGCCTGGGAAACTTAAAAACATAGAATCACAGGTCCCATCAAACGTACTGAATCACAATGCCCAGGAATATATATTTAAAAAACCCTGTAGTGATGATCTGGATGATAAATGGGTTTAGGAGCCTGGTCTACATGCCTCAGTTGGACAGGACCTCTATCAGCCTTCTCAACATGACTGTGTCTCCGGGTCTTTTCCTCTATTGATGTGTTTGACTATGCCTGTCACCCTCACTCTCCACACTGTAGCACACCAGCCGTCAACTCCTCCCTGGACAGCCCAAGACATATTTATTAACAAGCCAGGACTCCTCAGAACAGCTACTCAGACCTTTTAGCTCCAACGACCCTCCTTCCTTCCTGTCTGCACTGCAAGGGTGGGGGGCAGGGTGGTGGAATGCAGGTGCAGCAATGAGGAGAGAACAGAAGGCCACTGGCAGCAAAACCTAAGCATGCAACTCTTCGTTTAAGGAATCAGCAATGGTTCTCAACTGCTAGAATGGGTGCATCTAGGGCCTGCCCCAGAGTGGGCACCCCACATTTTCTGTTGAATGAATGGAATGAATAAAAGGATCATTTCTAGGGCTTGTGGAAGGATCAGAGGGTGGGAAGACCCTAGCCAGGGTGGGGGTTGGAGGGTCTTTACCAGATTGTCCAGTTCTGGGTCATCGCTGAAGAAGGGTTTGTGCTCCTGCTCCTGCTGGTGGACAAAATTCTCGATGTCCACATCAAAGCTGGCGGAGGTGATGCACTCTGAGCCCTGGGTGGCCTGTTCACATTTCTCAAACAGCAGCGTCAGGAGCGGGAAAAGAGGGTGCCTGCGGGGATATCAAGAGCTCACACATGCGCACACACAGAGACCTGCTGTTGGCTGTGCTCAGAAGCCACCAGGGCCCCTTTCCCGCACTCCCGTCACTTATTCTCCCAAGGTCCTACTTCTTGAGACCATCCCTGGTCCCCACGCCAGCCTGGATGCCAGCCCCCTCATGCCCTGGCATGGAGGATCCAGTCTTCCTGTTCCTGGAGGCCTTAGAGGACTCTATTCCGCCCCCCGCACCTGACTAGGTGCCTAACTCTTCTCTTAGGTCGGATAAGCTGCGTGGATATTGGGTGAGAGAGGAGGGGTATAAGCCTTCACAGAAATAAGTGCCCATTTCTGGTTCAAGGTCAACCCGGGAAGGACATGTAGGAAGTATCCAGAAAAGTCCTGGACATGAGCAGTAGTGGTTAGTCACAGACTTGCTGGCCGTCTGGCACCAGCTGAGGGCAGTGGACATGCACACCTGTGTGTTCGCCAGTGTACACAGGTGGGTGTGTGTGAGCTTGAATACGCGTCCACATGTGGTGTGTGGGTGTCTCTATCTGTCCTTCGTCTACTGGCTGACTCAATTTAGGTCACACATCCCAGTTACACGTACGACGTCTCCCTGCCCCTTTTTATCAGTGCACACTTAGCACAACCGTGACTCAACAATTAACGGCATTGCTGTTCTCTTCCAAGATTGTCCCTGTGTTAAGGATCACTGTATCCTTAGGACCTTGCCCTGCATGCTCACTGCAGGCACTTACTAGATATTTGGTGGCAGATGATGAATCAGCAAATGAAGACAGCATGAGTGTGAGCATGTGTGAGCGTGTAGGCGTCGTTCCAGGATGCATTATGTAAGCCAGAGTGCCTACTTCAGTGCCTGACAGGCTTTAGGGGTCCTCACATAGATATCACCAAGTCTGGAAGATATCACCGAGTCGCTCCCCCGCCCCTAACCTATGCTGATGGCTCTCTGAGCTCTTTGTTTTATTGTCTGCCTTCCTCACTAGACTGTAAGCCAGATGAGGGCAAGAGCCAAGCTCGCCTTACTCTTCACTGTGTGTCCAGATTCTGGAAGAGGTATGTGGATCCCAAGAAATATCCATTGTCTATGATATGTGTGTGTCTATTTGCACATAAAAGCACACATCATTCTTATTTTTCTGCAGGACATGAACAGTGAGGTCTTAGCATCCAGCATGGGTGCCTGGGTTTGCACAGATTGTTGACCCTGGATTGGCACCCTCATTCCCTTCCACTGCGATTCCAAAAGAACGTTTGCCCATGGACTCTCCTCAGTTCCTTGGGACCACACAATCCAGCTCTATTCTTTCTGATTAAGCCCTGTTGTCTGGGCGAGGAGGAAGTTTGTGTGTTGGGCATAGCTCCCAGGCCTCTACCAACAGGCGTGTTCTAGTCAGCATGGTCTGATAGAACTTTCTGCAGGGATGGAAATGTTCTATGATCTCCTCCGTCCAATATGGTAGCCACTAACTATAGGAGACCAACGAACACTTGAAATATGAGTGTGGTGCCTGCAACACTGAATTTTAAATTTATTGAATTGTAACCAATCTTAATGTAAATAGCCACGTTTGGCTAGTGGCTAGCATAATGGGGAATACAGTAAGCCCTGAAAAGGAAAACAGATCATGCTTTTTCCCTTCCTGTACTCTATAAACACAGCAAGAGGAAGACTGACCATCCAGCCTACACAGAGTTTGTATGTAGATGGGGAACCCCTAGCAGCCTGTCCCATGCTGGGATGCTAATAATTCTGGGCAAGAAGACAGAAGGTGCTCAGTTCCATCCATACTCAGCCCCACACCTGCTGGGCACTCTGCAGCCTGCCCCTGGACACCGTCTCCTGACCCTTGTTTTAGGAACTGTTGCATAAACAGCTGCACACCCCCCCCCCCCAGGCTGCAGCCTAGGTTACAGTCTAGGGAGGATAAAGGGTCAACATCTGGGAATGGTGCATGGGCCGCCCCCCCCCCCCCCCCGTGGCTAGAAGATCCATTCAGCTCCTGGAGGAAGCTGGTAGGGCAAACAATGGATTCCCTGACCCATCTGGCTGAAGACAAAGAGAAAACCAGGTGAAGGGGTTAAACTCCAGTGTAAGTCTTCATTTGCAGCCACTAATACCCAGCATATTATAGTCTAATCTAACCTGATCCCAGTTTAATGCAAGATTCTCTTTGCCCTGAGTGGAATACCAAAGAAAGCCTCAGTGGCTGTAATTTAAGCAGAGCCCTGCAGTGGTTTAGCTGAGGGACATGAAAGGCAAATTCCAGACGGTGTTATGAATTATTGCGCCTTATGGACCTTCCTACTCTCAGCAGATGCCTGCTGCCATTTAAACAGCCACTAGATCAATTAGGAATGAAAGGCACAAATCGACTCTGTACAAGGGCACTAAATTACCAGGAACTAATAATCCGCAGCATCGTGCCAGGTGGTGGGGGTGCAGCCCCAGTCCCAGCCCCGCAGGAGCCGCCGGTCACCGCAAGCTCCTTCCTCGCCGGTTGCAGGGAGGGTAGGCGGCGGCTGCATGGGGAGGGGGTGGCTTCTGTGTGTGCACGCATGTGCACCTGGCTTGCATGTAGGCTGTCAATGAGAGCAGGTGGGAGTGGTGTCCTAGTGTCCCATCCTGTGTGTTGCTCTTGTGCGTGCACATGACACGTTTATGCGGGAGGTGTGTGCATGTGGGCTGTGGCCTCGAAAGCAGGGTACAGGTTTTGCGTGCTCTGAGTACAGTGTGCACATGCCCTATATTGTATGTAGTGTGTGCACGCGTTATGTGTTATTTGTATGCAGTATGTGTGAGGGGTTTGTGGGTTTCATGTACACAGCATGAATGTCATGTGGGATGGGGAAGAGGGATCTGCTAGTGATGGAGTCTCCCCACATTAGAGTTCAGGTATGCGGGGAGAGTCTTCTTCTTTGCCACTGTCCTTGCCCCTGCAGGGCAGAGAGTAGTCAGGGAGGGCCTCTCGGAGGAGGTGACATTCAAGTTAAGCTTCAAATGATGAGGAAGCAGTCAGGCAGAGATCTGAGGGCAGGGGTGTTCCAAACAGGGTGGGGGGGAAGCAAAGCATTTAAGACAGGAATGAGCTTGGCACGTTTCTAGAACAAAATCCAGATGAGTGTGTGTGGAGTGAGGTAGGTAGGTAGGCCAGGAATGGAGGGAGATGAAGCTGAAGAGAGAAGCAGGTGTTAGATCATAGGCGGGAGGGTGAGGAAGGATGGGGACATTGTCAAACACTCTGGGGAGCAATGTGCAGCTTCTGTGCAGAGCCGCAGCATGGGCCCTTTTTATAAACTTCTCACTTCCAGGTGTCAGATCTCCCCAGAATGTGTGTGTGCATGCGTGTGTGTGTGTGTGGGGGGCATATCTGTGGTGTTTTCTATGGCTTCTGCTATATCTCAAGAAGAAAGAAATATACTTTCTATTGCTGCCTCCCCCCGCCCCCAATTTAACCAGGGGCCCCTAGAGCACAGAGTGGACCTCGTAGATACTAGCATGGCCTCCTCTCTCCAGCCCCTCCCTGCCTGAGCCACACTATCAGCTCCCAAATCTCTTTTCTTATCTACCACCCTCCCCCAGCCACTCTGATCCCTGGATCCCTGAGCCTAGGGGCTCAGATGGCACCTGGGCTTGCCCACTGCTTTTGTACAAATGTTAGCCAGGGTCAATGAGCTGCCTGTGGCTCCCATGCTCTGCCCGCCTGGATCCCTCCATCAACCCAGACTGCTACCTGCTACCTCAAGCGTGGGGACTGTTGAGACACTCTGTATCACCACCCCCCAACAACCCCTGAGAAACAGGCTGCTTTCCAATGACCTGGCTGGGTTCTGTGGCCGCAGTCATGCCACTGGTTCCCAATACAGTCCCCAGCCCCTTCCGCGGCTGCCCGGCTCTACAGGTTAAACTTTATTTCTAAACTACCTTCCAACATCACCCCAGAAGGCTGGAGATGTGGCCGGAAGCCACTGCTGCAGGCTTAGGGTAGGGTGGGGTGAATAAGGCAGAGACCACGGGAGCTGGACATCTTAGCCACCTGGGACATGAGTGGCCCTGTCTGAACCAGGTGAGGGATGGGAAGAAGGATTTCCAGTTGGGTATGGGATTTGGTTCTTTATTCTTGGCCTTCCCTAAGCTTCAGGTTGTCCAGCTACAATGGGTTTTAAGGAATTCCTCTTCCAGCTGTCCAGATCTGTCCCATTGCAGATCAATACCCTTCAGAGGCTAGAAGCAGGAATGTGGAAACTCAGTCCCCCAGTGCTTAGGCGATGATGAACAAGATATGAAAGATGGCCATTAGACTTTATTTCCAAAGAGCGGAGGACATTTGACCTCCATAAGAACTCACCTTCTCCCTCCCAGATCTTTCTCCACTCTTCTCCCCCTGTCGCCTCCCGCCTGACCGCCCCCTCCACCCCAATCTCTCTTAAGCCGTTCAAAATTTGGAGGAAATAAATCTCACTGCACTAATTCAGTGAGAGTTTGAGCCTCGTCAGTGCAGAACAAATAAAAGGAGTGAACTGGCATGACATTTTACTGCAGAAGAGAGGTCGTTTCCAGCCACTAATAAAAAGGATTTGACACAGACTAATAAAGAGAAATGAATTTCTCTAATGGCCTAATTTAGCACATTCAGCACTGTGCCTCTGCCTAGGTGCTGGGGGCGGGGGGTGCGGCTGGGAGCTGCGAGTGCGGACAGAGCCCGGAGCCGGGAGCCGGGAGACGCAGGGCTCGAGGAGAGGGGAAGAAGAGACGATTTCGAATTACATTTTATTATTTTTTTCTTTTCTGAGCCCCTACCCACACCCCCAGCCACACGGCCTCTTCTCAAGAGCAACGGAACCAAAATCAAGCTCAAGCTACGCAGTCTCTGTTAACGATCCGAAGAAATAAAGAACCGCTCTCCCCAGAATGCGGTCCTGTGCTAGCTTAAGGAGGTGATTAAACCGGATGTGTTGATTTCTACAGGGGTTTAAGCCATCGTT